CTGCACTGCCATTTTCTGATTTACTGTCACCGTTTTTGGCACTCCCAATGAGCTTGATTTGGATATTTTGATATTTATCTCAACCCATGAATTCTACCTTTTTCCCAATCCTCTCCCCCATCCCACTGAGATAGTGGGGGAGCGAATGCCTGTGTGGTTGTTTTAGCTACCTGCCACATCAATGCATGACAAAGGGTAATTCAGCCCATCCTGCAATGAACTTCCAAGAAAGGTCAAAGAAACCACCAGTTTGTGTGAATTTCTCCCCATTGATTCTTAAAGTCTTCTAGGGTGACAAGCTGTAGCTTAGGCATCTAAGCCATAGACAAAAAATGTTAGAGGAAACTTAAAATCTCAGTCTAAAAGTGCTGAAAAGCATTTGTACTTTACTGACATGAAAAGGTATGGGTGTCTTTCTGAGGAAAAACGTTTAACACAGGTCTCTTTCTTCAGCCATCTCTGCATCCCAAGGTATTAATGAAGAACTGACTCCATACTTATGGCTGACCTGCTCAAATATTGATATCGACAAAGTAGGGGTTTTCTCCTGAGTTGTTCGTGTTAATTCAGATGGCTGCTATGTTGCACAATGCCCCAAATCATGCAACAGCCTAATCTAGCCAATTATCAAGTCAACATAAACAATTGTCTCAGAGGTTGACAAATGTCTGCAGTGTCTATACCTAGATGAGATGAATCCCAGCAAAGACTTACATTTCACCTTTCAAGGTATTTTTAATCGTTTGTGTGTCCTCGATGGCAGTAATAAGTCTTCTATTTGCTTCCTTACAAAATTACCTTATAACAGGATGTTGGGTAAGGCATCTCTGTAGAACTCATGTTTACATTTGCCATCAGTGCTGAGTCTAGAAGAGAAAATTTATGAAATAAGTTCACGTAAATGGCTGAAAACAGGTGAGACAAAAATTACAAATAAATATGAATATGTAATTTCTAAAAACATATAATATGATGTCATATGTTAAATGGTGTGTCATTTGATTTTTTAAAATATGCAAATTTACAGCTGTACAATCAACTGTGTAGCATTCACTTTCACTGAGACGATTATAGTCATGTTGATATAATTACACTAAAACAGAGACTAAATTGCTTCCTCTGAATTAGATCCATTCCTCTGACCTACCTTTAGCTGCCTAAAAAAATTACTCTTTAAATCTAAATTATCTAAGAATCAACTGCCCTCATCAACTCAAAGTGAAATGGGATACTCTTCAGAGGAGTGGGATTGCAATTAGCTGATTTGGGGAATCACTAGTTAGACATTGAAACCTGAACTAGTCACCCAGGCAACTGGTACAATTGGTAAAGGGAGATGACCCTTTTCCAGAGAGAAATGTCTCATCCTCACTTGGGTAGTTAAGGTAGGTCAGATTAGTTAATTTAATAGTGAAAAGTCTAGGGTAAGTAGCAGAAGCTCCAAGGGCTAAAAATTACATGAGGGTAATCTTCCCTCAAATACCATAAATTATTTTCTTTCATTGTCTTCTAGGAGAAGAAAATGGTTCAAACTTTCTAACCTTTAAGAAATATTCACATTTCTTGACCACCTTGCTCAGAGCATCCTTCACACCTCTGTTTTTCAGAGTGTAGATGAGGGGGTTGAGTAGTGGAGTCACAATTGTATAGAAAACTGAGACGACTTTATTCAGCACTCTTAGAGTCTGTTTTTAGTAGGTCATAAACAATTATTAAGCTTCCATAAAAAACTGTAATAGCAATGAGGTGGGAAAAGCAGGTAGAAAAAGCCTTTTGCATCCTGGTGGTGGAAGACATTCTCAGGACACTGGTGATGATACACATGTAGGACACCAGGTTTAGTAGGAAAGAGGATAGTGCACATAGTGATAAGACAATAAACACCAACATTTCAATCAGGCTGCTGTCAACAGCAGGAGAGTTTTATCACTGGAGTGAAATCACAAAAGAAAAGATCAATAAAATTGGGACCACAGAAGGAATGTTGTGAAATCAAGAAGCAGCTTATGGCCATAACAAGGAAACCATCCATCCAAGACCAAGCTACAAGCCTCAGACAGTATCTGCTCTTCGTGACAGCTCTGTAGTGAAAGAGTTTGCATACTGCTAAATACAGACCATAGGACATCACCGATAAGAGAAAGCTTTCAGTGACTGCTAGGGAACCAAAGAAATAAAATTGTGTGATGCAGCTGCCAATAGAAATGCTCTTGTCCCCAGTCAGAAAGCTGAACAGGGCAGGATGGTAAACCTGCAGCAGGTTTCCAAGCAGGCCAAGTTGCACAGGAAGAAGTACATGGGTTTGTGGAGGTGCCGATCAGCCGCCACCAAAACAAAAATGAGTATATTGCCAATCACAGTCACAACATAGATCACCGAGAAAATAAGGAAGAGAAAAGATTGCATTTCTGGGATATTCCCAAATTCCAGGAGCAGAAATGTTGTGATAACTGTTTTATTTCTACATTCCCCATTTGCCAAGTGTTACACAGTTTTAAGCAGTTCTCAAACATTCTCCAGATAATAATTTTTGAGAGAAGTTATTGTATATTTTTAATTTTGTCTTATGCAAATCTTTTAACAACATTGTTTTTTGGGTTTGGAAAGCATCACACACAAATGCGGCAGGATGTTTTGATGACCTAGACTATACCAGGCCAATAAAAAGAGTGGAAAACTGTAATATTCGCTTTTTAAGAACTGGACAGATAGATGAGTGTAGATACTGAACTTGACAAAAAACTGAAATATCCAGAAAAGAAGTTGAGGAAAATGTTGAATAGTACGGCTTATCTCATTTGACAATATTTTTTGAAACCTGCAGGGTTAGAAAGTGATCTTCCAGGTAACAGAAACAAGTGATTATTTAGAAAACTTCAGTCAAAAGAAAAAAGGAAAAGAGAGGAATTCTTTGGTCCATGACCATTTCATGACCCAAGATGACAAACACCATACCGAGGAAATATAACAGATACTGAAGGAAATCATGAGAAGAAATCTATTTTTTAGTTTAATGCATTGATAGTTATTAAAACGATCAATTTGTCTTCTTTCTCTCCCTCTCTTATCTTCTCTCTCCTTTTTTTTCCTTTCTTTTTGTTTTTAGGGGTTGGGGGGTTTTTTGCTCTTTTTTTTGTTTATTTAGGTTTTGAGTTTTTTGTGGGTTCTTTCTGTCAAAGAGTTCCTCCAGAAGCTAAAAGAACACAAGTCTGAGTAACAAGAAAGTGATCTGCCAGGGACCTGGTGTTGTTAAATTAAATATTGTTGCACACACAATTAACCTCAATGTACAGACACATATCTGGACATATTAATCCCACAGCCAGTGTTCAAAATAATTGAGATGAACAATACTGCAGGATAATTTTTCTCTCTCTCTCTCTTTCTCTCTCTCTTGACCACAGACTACTCTCTTAGTTCTGGACAATCATATTGAAATATATTTATTTCATTCAGATAGAATAGCCAAAAGAGTAGCACTTCAAAACAGAATAAAAGTTGTTCCTGTTTCACAAACGATATTTCAATAGAAAAGATCAAGGAAAATTTTTCCACCTATGTTGCTGCAAGACCATTTGCATTTATAATTCTTACAGGCAGACGGCTGAGGCTATCAGCAGAATTTCTGCCCTCTTATCCAAAAATATGACCCTGCCCAAAAGCCAGTAGGCTGGGGGTGGGCAAGATCTTGGGAGTGGACATAGCCAGGACAGCTGACCCAATCATACCAAAGAGATATTTTGTGCCATATGATGTTGGTGCTCAGCCATAAAAGCTAAGAAAAAGGAAGAGGAAGGGGGTGCATTTGTTATTAAGATGTTTGTCTTCCAAAGCAACCACTACATGTACTGAGGTCATGCTTCCCAGGAAGGCTGCTGATTGGGAAGTAGAGTGTAAATTTTTTTTTTTCCATTACTTCTGCACACACCCTTTCCTTTTTATTTATTAAATGGCCTTCCTCTCAACCCATGAGTTTTTAATCTCATTTTCTCCCCTTGTTCCACTGAGGAGGGGGAATGAGCAGCTTAGTGGGTACCTGGCGACCAGCCAAGGTTAACCCACCACAGGTATCTATGTTTTGGCTGTATATATACATGTATTTTACATATTGCCAACTGCATTTTACCTCTCAAAACAGACCGGAACAGGCCAGAGCCTTCAAACTCACTTCATTCATGTTTAAATTTTTAATTACTGAAACTCCATGTGTGCCCCTACTTCATGAACATTTTTGTGCATTGTTATTGAAAGCAGAAAAATAAGAATAGTTATGGACAGAATAAAATTGTAACAAGAACCTTTTAGAAAGAACGTATGTGGAAAGTGTGACTTCTTAAAGAAAATGAGCCTGCTCCAGGTCAGCTGGCTAAGTTAAGCAGTTTAGATGGCTGAGTCCAAGGTCAGCTCCTTTGCTGATAAGAGCTGTTGTGAAGAAAGCAAGAAGCAAGGGCCTGTCCCCCCTGTTACCCAACTTGCTGGGTGATCACTGACTGCCTGATCCGACCACTATCTCTGGACCCAGTCCTGACCCTGACTTACCCCTCAGAATCCTGGCTCCTTGTTGGTGAGGTTACTGCTCCCATCCACCTCACTGTTGCATTTGGCTTCCAACTTACCTTCCCTTGTGGAGCAGCTGGTCTTTGCTTCTCTCTGACAGGGCCCCGCAGATTCAAATCTGCTGGACCCATGCAGGTTTAAGAAACCAGTGGAAATGTAGGACCACAAATGCTTCCATGGATTTGTACCCAGGGCCACAATCTCTCCACAGCTCAGTTCCCCTCCTTTCTGAGCAGTGCTATCTACCAGAGGTGAATTCAGAAATGAAAGCATAGGGCGAACGCTGCAGAACTTCAGAGTGTGTTATGTGTGTGAGAGGCAGAGGGGTGGCAACAATAATCCCCTCAGCAGCAGCACACAACTGTCCTCCAGCCCTGTGGCAACTGCTTGTACCACTGTCACCTGGGTTGTCCACCTGGCTGCTTCCTATTCTGGACACAACAGACAGTGCTGTCCTGTCTACACAGAAAACATGTGAGCATCTGAGCAGGCTACCTTTATGCCACACTAAGACCAGGTATTATTTCTTTGCATTTTGAAAAAGGCCCAGACTTGAGGGGGCTGACATCATCCAGAGATGCTCATATGACATGGAGGGATAATCTAATGTCTTGTAAGAGGGTTACGCTGCCATGTCTTGCCCATGGCATGGAAACCAATTTTGCCTTTAACCCTTAGTTACCCTTAAACCTGAAAGTCCTTCAGTGAACATAAGACCAGCTCAGGGACACTCTCCTCAGGGAGAGGACAGGGGCATTTGTATAAGTAATAAATACACATTTGTATAAGATGTCTTGGGGGAGTATCAAGAAAGGTCTTGGGACATGGCTGGACAGGAATGCCAGGAGAAGAGGCAATGGTCAGGGTTGGAGATGAGTTAGGGGTGTCCAGAAAGGGCTGTGGATGGAACTGCTTTGGGGACATGCAGAAAGGGGCTTAGACTGCAGGTAGATGCCCAAAGAAGAGCAGAGATAACATTCTGGGGCATCGCACAGGGGAGTAGAGAGGGGGCAGCTTCCTGTGCTTCTCCCAACCCTCCTGTTCACATCTTCTCCCACAGCATGTAAACCACCATCACCACCATGTATTTCTTCTCTCAAGTATGTGGATACCATGGAATTTGTTTTGTGCTCTCCAAGTTTTGGGCCTTGGCTCACCAAAACCATCATTGAGTGCCAGGAGCTGGTGGCACTGCAGAATGCAGATGGCTCCTGGGCCCTCAGCTCAGAACCGGCCTCTGTGCTGGAACTTGATGAGGCTGAAATCAAGGGAAAGGTGCCTGCGGAGGTAAGGGGAGAACCTCTTATGGTGGTATTTCTTCCTGGGGCAGTGGGAACCCCCTGCCTGGCAGCAATACTAGCATCCCAAGGGCAGCCAGAGAGGAATGAAGGGATCAGAAACCAGAAGCCACAAAGGAAGGAAGGGGTGGGAAGCAGAGGGGGCAAGGAGGATGCTGAGCACCATGTGCTGCTCTGAGTCATTGTTCTCCTACAGATCATGGAGCCAAGCATCTGGGCCATAAGTGCTGGCTGTGACCTGGCTGCACAGACGTGACAAGTGTTATCAAGACCTCTGTGAGTTGCTGGAGGCCAAGGCTGTGACCTGGCTGTGCAGCCGAGCTGCTGAGTTTTGAGGGTCCTTT